GGGGTGAATTAGTTTTCTCTTGACATATAACAAATTACCAAAGTTCTCATTATTTAAAAAACATAAATTTGTCATCTTATCATGGCTATCAGTTAGGAGTCTGGGCATAGTGTAACAGTTCTCTGCTCATTAGGCTGGAGTCAAATACTGAACCAGAACTGTAACCTCATCTGAGACTTAGGGTCTTCTTCCAAAGTCACTATTTGCTGACCAAGTTCAGTTCTCTTTGGCTATAGGACTGAGGTCCCATTTTCTTACTGGCTGGTAAGCTAGGGTAACTCTCAGAGTCTCCTGAGGTCCTGACTGCATGGCCCACTCAATAGCCAGTTCAAACATGACTGCTTACTATGTCCAAGTCGGCAGGAGCATGTCTCTCTGACTTCAGGGTCAAACTTCAAGACCGTGAGAACTTGTCTGATTAGATAAAACATACCAGGAAAAACTACCTTTTCATTACCTCCATAATTTAGAGACTAATTTCATCTGCAAAAACCCTTTTGTCATATGTCATAAGACAACACAGAAGTGGGACCAGCAGTTGGTGTAATGGCTATGTCACTGGACTCCTAAGTAGTTGACCATGGTTCATGTCCTGGACCCGGTGGCTTAAAACTCATGCCAGGTGCGTGTGCGTGCGTGCCCAAGATCCCAAGAGGAGAATGGAAGAGAAGGGATTGCAGCATGGCCATTCCCCTTGGGGGGTGATTTCTCACTTTCTGTCTTTCTGTCTCTCTCTGTCTTTCTGGTGAGTGCACGTGCCCTATGGCAAAAACCTCTGAAGAACAAAAATAATAATAATAATAATAATATTGCCACAGCTCTTGCCCATGTGGGTAGAAGTTGCTCAGGGCATGGTCATCTAGAATTCTGCATTCTCCTCTGGGGACAAAACTAAAAACAAGCTGTCTGAAAGGGTTTCTCCTTCCCTTCTGGGATTTTCTCTGAATTGGAGATGGATTTGTTTAATGAAAATTAGCATCAAATAGCATATGGTCTCTCAGCAGAGGGAAGGGATGCTCCATTTGAAAGGTTGACTAACTCTTATGATGCAACCTTGGGTCTAGTCTGAGTGTTCCCAAAAAAGCAAATATCCCAGAGGGCTGCGGAGGGCCCTGGAAAGTCTGCCCAGTGGCTTTGGTGCCTACATGCACTTATTCTCTGAGCAACAGCTGAAATGTTCTCTTAGAGAGTTGGTGCTAAGGATGTTATTAATGGAATAGACTTTAGAAAGCATATAAAAGTCAGCAGGAGGAACTGGGGACCTCTTCCCCGCCCCTTTTACAGCTTCCAGACATATATTCCCAAATTTCTAAAATTATCCAAATTCTAGGCCTTTAATGTACCAGCTCATCTGATGCTAAGACTAGCTTACAAATGGTAGAAAAGGAAATGTGGAAGGGAAGCATGCATAAATTCCATGTCCCAACTATTGTGTAGAAGATTTAGGGTTGTTTTGTTTTGTTTTGTTTTTTGAGAGGTTTTTGCTATAGGGCGCGTGCACTCGCCAGACAGACAGACAGAGTCAGAGAGACAGAAAGCGAGAAATCACCCCCCACTGGGGATGACCACACCACAATCCCTTATCTTCCATTCTCCTCTCAGGACCTTGGGCACACACGCACACGTGCTCGGCGTGAGTTTTAAGCCACTGGGTCTGGGACGCAAACCATGGTCGACTACATGGGAGTCCAGCGACATAGCCATTATGCCAACTGCTGGTCTCAAGATTTAGAGTTTTGATTTTTCTCGGCTTGGCTTCCAGGGCTTCAAGGCCTCACTGTTGACCGGTCTGTGCATTCAGAGTGGTTTGTTATTTTGGGCTGCTTCTGAAACATCTTGTAGAGCATGCTGAATGAGGTAGAGTAAATCTATGTTTGCTTATTAGGTATGTCTGAATGACCCTTTCCAAATGGCCTTGTCCCCCTCACTCTACCCTTGAGTCAATCTGATAGGCCATCTCATGACTAATTTTAAAGAATTTAGGAAAATTAGGTCAATGCTGGGCTTAGACCAGAGGTTTTTGTCTTGTCTAGGAGAGTTAAATTAATTCTAACTAATTTTATTGATTCTGGTGTTATCAGAATAATCAGCAGATCTCAACAGAGGACACTTGCATTTAGCACCGTCGAAATTTTTTTTAACTGTCATTATAAGGGGGCACTACTGGCACCTAGTGGTGGAGGCCTGGAATACCACTAACATCCTAAGGGCATAGGACAAAAAATTATTTAGCCAAAGTGCTGGTAGTGCTGAGAGTAAGAAACTTTGAGCTAAACATTGAACTAAAACTTGGAAACTTTGAACTAAACCCTGGTACATACCCAGGCTGATTGACTTTCACCAAGGCAAAGCTTGTTCCTTGGGTGCCAGGACAAGGACAGACAGAGGCTCTGGGAATTGTAGATACTGTTACTTCCCTCATTCTTCTTCTCCAGAAAAGTATAAATATTCTGTGCTCCTGCAAAGGCCCACCCTATGCAACACTCAGGACACTTGGATCTAGAAGTCCACCCTTCCACAGGACTTGATATGACACGCTGAGCTGGGCCCTAGAGTGCACTGGTTACTTTGACCACTGATCCTGCTGATGTTTGAAGGCAGGAAGGACTCAAAATCCCAGGAGCTTTAGCTAGTTACCGTCCTCTTTAGGACTGCATTCCTTGTCATGCAGGCAAATTCTGATAAGTCATGGTGCATGTTCTTGCTTCTTAAATTCAAGAGTAAAATGCAAGTTCAATCAATGAACTAATATCAGATTCTGTAAAAAGAAAAGGCCAGACAATGGCACTGTGGTAAACACGATGCTGCAAGGCTGACTTATGAAAAGACTCCCAGTTTAAATCCAGAGACCTCCCTGAATATGACAGGCATGCATGTGCTCATGATTTGGGGTTGGCTGAATGCAGGGGGCTATATTATGGCATCAAGATCTTGTTGGGGGTTCTTTCTCTCTTCCTCTTACTCACGGAAGACATAAATTAAATAATTTCTTTAAAAAATAAATTTGGTTTCCAGTTTAGTTGTACAGAAGCAACTTAAGACAGAAGACCTAAACTCGAATCTAACATGCCTTGATCATAAAGAACCCTAATTTATACATTTATGTCAGGTGAGTACCAGGAAAAATGAAAGGAGAGAGGGCTGAGGGATGAGGTTGTGAGTAGAGAAACCAAACATCCTAAGTGTTTCTGGTCATTCACATCTCTGGGTGAGGGAAATGCCACTTGTACTCCTTGCTCTGTGACCTTGGGTGTGGTGTAGTGACTTTGGAACCAGACCAACTGGGTGTGATGCCTTGTCAGCTGTGTGTCCTTAAACATGTTCCTTAACTTTTCCAAGCCTCAGTTTCCTTATCTGTCAAGTGGAGATAATAATACCCATGTATAAAGCTTTTATGGTGATTACATGAATAAACATTTATAAGGTGCATAAGAATAGTGCCTGACCTTTAGTTAATGTTGCCTGAAAGTCTGTTCGTTACTTCTAAGGTCTTTTCTCAGCTGTAACAGCCTGGGAGGCAATGGTACTTTTCTCCTGCCATCTACAATATTATGTAATAAAAATCTGACTCCAGATGCTGACCTTGAAGGCAGTGCCTCATTCAGAACCAGCACAATCTCCCTGAGCTAGCAGTGTCTGCTACCCCCCAGGCCCTCTTGAACATAAAGGAATTGCTGATTGGTCCCTGTGTGTTGACAGGACTGACACCTCTCTACCAGCTTCCCTAGGCGGATGTACAGACTCAAATAGAGAGGTTGTTGGGAAGTAATTCAAAGGTCCAGACCACACTGGTTCAGTACAACACTAAGAGAACACCTGGGTGTCCTGAGACACAATTGGGATGAAGAAGCTGCTGGACCTCTCAGGCAGCTCTAGAGGCCCTGTGTAGGCTGGGATAGGAACTGCACATGGAGAACTGTCAGTTCCTTGTGGAGCCAGGATTGTCTAGACCAGCTGTAGGTGAAAACAAGGACTGGAGGTGACCACAATTATTAGAATTATGGATTCCAGAAAAAAAATGAAGCTTCCTTTACCCAAGCATCACAATGTACATATTAATAAAATATGTCATATGCATTAATGTGATGCATAGGGTCTGGTCTCATAGCACAATGGTAAAGTGCTATGTGTAGGGTGCCAGATTCCACACAGCTGACTGTGTTTGTAATCCCAGCCCTTGCAGTTTAGAAGACAGGCCGGCTGTGTGTGCATGAGTGCTCCAAATCCCAGTGGGATAGAGAAATGGATAAAAAAGGGATGGTAGTGTGACCAAACTGTATTGGGGCATGCTTTCTCTCTCTGTGTAGCAAACATACATGCCCTCTGGCACTTGAAAAAATAAAATTGATGAAAATCGTAATATAGAATGTGTAATTATTGTAGTATGTAACATATGATGATGTAATATGTAATGTGTTTTCAATATAATGTATAATAGTATAATGTGTTATTAATGTGATAGATATGTATAAATGCAGCATGTAATGTATTAATCATGTAATATGTTAAGTGTAATATGTAATATACATAGCTGTGATATGTAGTTTGCATTAATACAACGTGCAATGTTTTACCAATTTAAAGTATGTGCTCATATACTATGTAATGTGTTGTCATAGTAGCATATAGTGTGTCAATGTAATGTTTAATACGTGTTAATGTAAAACATATTTATGTAATATTTAATGCATATTAATCAATATAATAACAGAATATGTCATGTATATTAATAGAATACATAATGCTTTGATCCATTTGTGCTCCTTGACAGAATAACAAGACAGGGTACTTTATAGAGAAAAGAAATTTATTATCACAGTTCAGGCTGGGTATCCAAGATCAAGGGGCGAGTGAGGGCCTTCTTGCTGGATTATAACAAGGTATAGGGTAGTGTATGATGCGATGTTACCTCACAATAGCAAACATTAGTCCATCCATGAGGGTAAAGCCCTCGTGACCTAATCGCTTCTTCATGTTCCCACCTCTCAGTACTGTTGCCTTGGGTATGAAGTTTCCAGCTCACGCACTTCGGAGGACACGTTCACACCATGGCAGTAATGTATGTGGGTTTAAGGTGGAATGTTACTAATGTACTATATGGCATAAAGAAGTAATTGAACTGGAATGACCGTGAGGACATGCCCCCATGACCTGTTCTAGCTCAGGCTTTTCCTCAAAGGCTGAGTGAAAACAAAACCCTAGATACAAATTCTCAGGGAAAGACCTGGACTTCCCATAGCCACAGGGAAAGTCCACAGGAACTAAAAAAGGAGCCAACCACTGCCCCCACCCCAACACACATACCACTTTATGTTCAGGAACAGTAACTCGTAACTCCCTTTGGTCTATACTTCTTTGATAAAAGATTATTTTTAAAGGCTTTTAAAATAATGAAGACTTCAAAGGGCCTTATAAGAAATTAGACTTCCAGCTGTGTTCTGGGAACAGGAGAACATACGTACATACATGGATGGTAGATTTGCACTTTATATCTGTGTATATGTCCTGTGTTCTCTCTTCATCAGGTTCTTTTTAACCTTAACACAACTGACTTGGAGGGGAAATAGTTCTGAGTTGTAAGGTGGGCTGTCTGTGCACAGTAGGGTGTTAGCAGAATCTCTGGGCAACATTTCTCAGTAGCGACCCTCCAGCTATGACAACCACAAATGTCTCTAGATAACCCTAAAAATGGCTCCTATAGAATATAGGATCACCCCCCAGTGAAGAAGCCCAGTCTACATTCTGGGAGAGAGCACAAGAGCATGTTCAGGGTGTCTGACCCCAGAGATTCATGGCCTTGGCTCAAACCCTGGCTCCCCACTTACTTGCCTGTGACCTCTCAGTGCCTCAGTCCCTTCATGTGTAAAATGAGAATGACAACTACAGCTCCAACGCCACACCTTTGCTCTGAGGACTAAACGAGTTAGGATGCGTAAAGCCTTTGTTACAGACCCTTACACAAAGACAACTTGGCTTTTATTATTCCAAGTCATAGAATGGAGAGGGAGAGAAAGCTCATCTGCAACTGTAAGCAACCCAGAAGAAAGAAGGGAACAGGAGAATCTGGACAATGTACTTGGATTCTTAGCCAGAAACTCTTCATGCCTAGAGAGTTGTAATGTGAAGGAGCTCTTCAAGAAATGGTCTTTTGGGAACCAGCAGTTAGTGTAATGGCCATGTCGCTGGATTCCCACGTAGTCAACCGCGGTTTGCATCCCGGACCCGGTGGCTTAGAACTCATGCCAGGCGCGTGTGCATGCGTGCCCAAGGTCCCGAGAGGAGAATGGAGGAGAAGGGATTGCAGCATGACCATCCCCCCTGGGGGGGTGATTTCTCGCTTTCTGTCTCTATGTCTCTTTCTGTCTGGCAAGCACACGCGCCCTATAGCGAAAACCTCTCAAAAAAAAAAAAAAAAAAGAAAGAAATGGTCTTTTTATTAGAGACCAAGACCTCGTCCATGAGAGAGAGTGGGACAGAGGTACTCTCAACAAGACCTCACGTCGTAGTCCCTTTTCTCCAGCCCTCCAACTCTTCAGAATCTTGAACACATGTGCATGCACCCAGCATGTTTTCAGGTGACACATGGATCCAAATCCATGATCAGTCACATGACTTCTAATACTACAGCCAAGTTCATAATGGACTGGGTCACCAAGACTGAGGCAAAATGGCATTTTGTTAAATTAGAACACACAAAGTACTTCAATAACAAGAGGGTGGATATAAAATATGTAGTGCTTGGTTTATGTTAAATCTTTCAGGGACTTTTCTCAATATATATATTTTTTAAATATTATTGAGATTTTTGCTATAGGGTGTGTGCACTCGCTGAAGAGACAGAAAGACAGAAAGTGAGAAATCATCCCCCTAGGGAGGGGAGGGCTGGCCACACCACAATCCATTCTCTTCTACTCTCTTCTTGGGATTTTAGGCACACACACACACACACACACACACACACACACACACGTCCAGCATGAGTTTCAAGCCACAGGATCCTAGAACTGTGGTTGACCACATGGGAATCTAGTGTCTTAACCACAATGCCATTTGTTGGTCCTTCAGGGATGTTTTAATAATTAATAGCATGAGATTAATTCCAGACTTTGTCTTTTCCTAGACCTCCCTCCGCCAGCCCAGAGTCTGTTACCCCTCCTGGTGACTAAACCAGGTCTGGCAGTGGAAAGGAACATATTTAGCAGCGGGGAGGGGGTGGGGTTTCTCCGTCTCTGAAACTTTGATAATGAAAGAGCGTGGGCTTAGTTTGGGGTCATGGCTGGTTCTTTCTAATCATTATACTCTTGTGACTTTGCAAGGGAATAGCATGGCCCTGGTGAAACTTGTAAGACCAGGGAAGTATCCACAACAGACAAGGTGGCTGAAGAGTCCCAGGAGCTGGCCCTCTGTGGGATGCTCAGAGGTCTCTCAGCGCAGAAGCAGCTTACCTGGCTCCAAGCCAGGGAGGGCTACAGAGAAGGAAGACACACTGAGGCCACCTCATCTCAGAGGGGGAAAGTGGTAAGTGAGATGGATTACTGTCTTACCCAGAACTTTTACTTTCCTGAAGGTACATAATTATAACAATCTAATGATAAGAGCAATTAGGAGGTTCCAGACTTTGAGGGGAATGTGTGTGCGTGTGAATGTTCATGTGTTTAGTTATACTAGTAGTGGCAAAAGGTTTAACTTTTCCTCGAATATATAATTCCTGGGAAGAATGAAGAGCTCAGTAAAGGTCAGCATCACCATCTGGACTCCAACTGACTTGGCAGATAAAATATACAAAGAATGCTTGTCTTCAATACAATCGATCACTCTTGGCATACAGATGAAAATGAACAAAACAGAGCCAAATTTTATAATTGCTGGTAAATCTGTGGATGATCAACATTGAAACCTTTGTGACTCCTTTCTTTCCATTTATCACCATTTGTCATATTCTGCTTCCCATGTTTTTGGAACGATGACCAGAAGGAAACCAGGCTGCAGTCGTCAGGCAGGTACAAAACAGATGGCCAGGAGGAAGGAACCAGAAGGGAAGAAGGCAAGGAGCCCCAGCCCAGGAACCAGCCAGCCCTGTTTCAGGTGCCAGGGCCCAGGCAGACTCCAGGGGACTGTCCAGCACTGACAGTGTTGGAATTTATCCCCAGTGTCATTATCAAGGACAGGGCACGTGTTACCTAATTTATCCAGGGGGAAGTGTGAGACTGAAGAGTGAGGAAGGGAGGCCTAGAAGGTGACAAGAGCCTTCTACCTATAAGTACAGCTTTCAGGGGGGCCAGATTGCCCTAAAGTCGTCACTATAGGAGCACCAACTCCTTTGTCTTTCCTTTCCATCTGTGGTCATCGTCTGTCTATAGCTTGTGTCTATTATATAAAGAGAAATGGGATTCTCAATATCTCCACCCCTTTGCCATTTGAAAATACTTTGACAACAAATACAGAAATATATGCATGTGCATACACAGTCATAGGTGGGATAGAGTTTGTCAGTCACACTTCCCCATATGATAAGATGATCAGGGGAACTCTGAAAGAGAGCCCATGAGTTGTACATGGGTGCAGCACAAGCAAGCTACCTCCCACAGTGGATTTAATACCAATAGCTACTGATCCTCCATCAGAAAGAATTGGTTCTGATAAAACCAAATTAGGACATTCTGTCTCAGGGAAAACATGTTTGAAGTGCAAAACTGAAACCTAGTTTCTCTTGCCCTACCAGGTTTCCTTCTCTTTCTAGGGAGGGCCCAAATGCTCAGTGATATTGAATAAAGCAGCACATCTCACCCAGTTAAACTAAGTGTTTCCTTTGTGTTGTTTCCCTCTGCTTTGGATGAGATAGGAACTTTTTCATGTTGTGGACAACCAGGGGCCAGTAGGTTTTCAGCTTGGAGAGCACTCCAGGCAAGGATAAGGGAGATGACAAGAGAAAAGAAGAAGAGGAAGATGAAAGCAGATCAAACACAAAAAAGAAGAGAGAAGATGAAGGAGGGGCACCAGAGGTCACTGTAGGATCATGAAGACAGAGGGGGATATTTCTGAAAACCTTTGTCCAAATGCCAACTCTGTTACTTCTTAATAATGGGATCTTTGATAAGTTACTTTTTTTTTTTCATTCTAAAAGCAATGCTTTTAGCTTCAGAGTATATATTTGATTTATAATTCATAAACCATAGTGAAAATGAAACAATAGAATTGTTCTAAGAAATAGATTCTTGCATTAAGTAAAAAAGAAAGAGGAGAAAGAAGAAGAGAAGATAGAAATGAATAGAACCAAGTATACGAAGGAGGAAGGGGAGGAGGAAAAGAAATAAGAGGAAGAAAAACAACTGCAGTAATCAATCTTGAGTCAATTGTTTTACCTTCAAATCCATTAAGTCTAGAAAGACTGTGCAAGGAGGGAGGTTATGTGGGAGGCAAACAACTAGGTAGGAAACAGATGGTCCGCTTTCCCCAGTCTCCTTGTTACTCCTCTGGGGAGCCCAGTTTGCATGAAATGGGAGAGAGGCCAGTGAGGGTGAATGAATAAAGTCACAAATCTGCCACATAGCAATGCAGACTTAGTCTGAATTGCCAGCTCCATGTTTTCCAGTGGGTGCCTCGTAAGACATTAATTTTTTAAAGGAGTTCTATGAAAAAGATCCTGAACAAATGTGTTTGGGAAATACTGCAAACCATATTCTTCTCTTACAGAGTTACAGTGATTACTAGCACAATAAAGTCTCTGATAAATCCTGAGGTTAAAAAACAGATACTGGTTGGTTTGTTATCCCTGAGGCACTATGCATTCCTGGCCCCTTTGGGAAAACACTGGATCACCAACAATATAGAAAGATAACAGCTCATATTTGTATAGCACTCTACAGTTTACAAGGAGTTTTCGCCTATTGCAGGCTTATTTAATCTTCCTTCCAATACTAAGAGATTTTATGACCTTCTATTTATAGATAAGAAACTGAAGTTTAAATATTTATTTATCAAGATCCTTCAGTAGGAAAGTCAGTACTAAGAGGCTGAGTCTCTCAACACTTTTTCCTGTTAGGAGAATATAGAAATGCTCATGTAAAGCACTGAAAATGCCTCTAGTTCTCAGAAGTCCATAACTCCTTTATTGACCTGTCTAAGACACATTCCTTCTTGGATATGTTGCATACTGGGCTAACCCCGAGTCTCCAGAAATTACAAAATAATCTGGTTTCTCATTGAGAGACATCTACTTGGCATGAGCTGACTTGATATTTAGTCTTCACACAAAATCTTATATAATTGCCTTTCCCAGATTCACAATCTAACTTTGATAACATATCGCAAATACAGACTTTCGGGTAGTACATGCAAGAGTAAACCAAGAAATACACATTTGTTTTATCAAATTGCATATAGCACATAGTTTAAGAACTAGGAGTAACTTAAATTCATTTCAGTGCAAGTTATTTGCATTTTTTGAGTTGATGCCAGGACTAAAGCTTGCTGTGTATACTAGGTAAATTCGGTCTCTTCACAACAATCCCACAAGGAAGATATAGTCATTCTGTGTTGTAATCGGAAGAGCTCAGGCCAGGAGGATTTGCCACTCATTCAAAGTGAAAGTTACTAAGTGAGAGGTTAGAATTTGATCCAGGTTCACCTGATTTTAAATCCTGAGTTCTTCACACCCCACCCTGAAGTCATCTTACCAAGATTGGCTACATAATTTCTTCTCAATAAAAACTAAATTTGAGCACTGGGTAGGTGCAGTTAAAAAAAAGAAATTCTCTCATAGGTACAGCTTTAGAGGAATGTCCAATATGTCAGTTCCCCAAGATGCTATGTATTTAAGAAATAGTTTGCTTTTCTGTTTTCACTGACAAGTTGTGCCTCTGTTTAGTAAATACTCCCTTGATTTTTTTTTCTATCTGGAAATAAAAAACTGTAATGGGAAGATGAACTGAGTCCACGGTCCATCTAGAAGTGGTTTTCAGAAGCAAAAACAAACACAGATTTCCAGTGTAGCATTCTATTACAATTTCCTCCTGAGATCACTGGAATTATCTTGTTTTAATCTGCCTGAGCTTGCCTCGTGTT